GTGGGGTTGGCCAATCTTTTATCGCGTCCACCTTTGAGTCCTCCATGGCGACATGGTCTTTTGAAATTGTATATCCCAGATATTGGAGTTTTTCCTTGTAAAACTCACATTTTTCGGGTTTCAAATATAGATCGTTGTCGCGTAGGATTTGGAAAACCTGATTTAGGATTTTAACATGTTCTGCCATGGTTTTGGAGAAAACGAGGATGTCGTCCATATATACGGTTATCTTCCGGGCTGTGATGAGCTCTCTGAAGATCATGTTCATCATAGCTTGGAAGGTGGCTGGTGAGTTGGTCAGGCCGAAAAACATCACCGTTGGTTCGTAAGAACCTAACGGAGTGATGAAGCTCGCCTTCCACTCATCTCCTTCTTTGATGCGTATATTGTTGTATCCCCATCGCACATCCAATTTGCTAAAAATGATGGCCCCTTTTATCACATCCAGTAGTTCCTGGATTAGTGGAAGGGGGCACACATTCGGGATGGTGTGCGAATTCAAGTGGCGATAGTCCTGTACCGGGCGTAGTTTTCCATCCTTTTTTCCTATAAAGAAAAATGGGGCTGCTGTTTGCGAGGTGGATCGACGGATGGTTCCTCTCTCCAGATGTTCCTTGATGAATTTTCCTAATTCGTCGTGTTTTTCTGGGCTTAGGGCGTAGATTTTGGGCACTTGAGGTTTGAAGGTTGGTTTCAAGTCGATGGCATGATCCCAGTAAGTGTGTTCTGGGAGTCGCTGCGACTTTCGTTCGCTAAAGATGTCCAAAAATTCGTGATGCGCTTTGGGAACTCTTTCCTTTAGATTGGTGACGATGATTTCGTCTTCCAGGTCTTGGTCGAAGCTGGCAAATCCTGACGGTTCGGGGGCCAGTTTCCGAATAACTGGGTCCCGGGTGGCCTGTTTTCCTGAGGGTTTGTCTGGGAGATCAGGTTCTCCCTCGTTTGGTGAAAGAGATGGCTTGTCTTGAGCCTTTTGTTTCTCTTCTGCGTATTTCCTTATGTCCTTTAGGAGCCATTTCCTTTTGAGGTATGCTCGTAGTTGGACACCAAACGTTCCGCTATGGTCGCGGAGTCCTACATCTTCCGATAGTCTTCGGAGATGTTCTAGGCGCTGTTTTTCGCGCTCATTGATGCGTGGTTTGTGCCGTGGCTCCACGTCTGATAACCGCCTACTGTATGGCGGTTCTTCCCTTGCTCTGGTGAACCCATATGGTTGCTGGCATTTCTGGGGGCACCAATCAAAGTGCACTTCACGTCGCCTCCATTCGATGGAGGGATCGTGGTATTTTAACCAATCTGTTCCCAGGATAAGGTCGTCTTTTCCTAGATTGGAGATAAACATCTGGACGCGCTCAGTATGCGTTCGTCCACTGATGTCCCGAATAGTGAGGTTCACATCCAAGGCGGATCGGATGAGACCTGCTTTGTTAATGGTGTCATCGACGTTCCGGACGCGAATGGGGTTGTTGAGTGTATAGGTGGGGAAACGATGTCTCTTGACCCAAGTTTCGTTTACTATAACCCCTTCGCAGGCCGAGTCGATGGTTGCTTTTGCTCCAGCGTATTGACTCCTGTTTATACTTTCGCGTTCAGGCGTATGGGGGTGATGATACGGTCGTTCATTGCTCCGATACGAATACAAGTGCGGGCATCAAACTCGGGTCGTCCTTGACCTCTCTCCTTCGCTGGTGAGGGAGAGGTCAGGAAAAACGCTCCGCGTGTCCCAAGATTACTTCTCTGGCTTCATCTTCTCCTGATTCTCCAAGTACTGCTCCGATTCGAGCAGAATGACTGACGCCTCCGTCTCCCCGTCGTCCGTTAGGTAGCATAGTGCGCTGCCCATGGTTCGTCTGGGGTCGTCCGGATGGGGTAGAGTGAGGACGTTCCATCGAAGGACCAGGTTGTGGTACCCGCTGGTCGTTGCGATGAACATCCTCTGTCTCCATTCCTCGATATATTCCTGCTTGGTTTCCCATAGCGGGTGCGTCGTCTTCTCCCTCCAAATCAACCGCGCGGTTTCTTCTCCCTGTTGTACCCATGCGTCTTTTCGAGTTTCCTCGAATCGGTTGAACGCTTCTGCGTAATGATGGGCAGTCAGCATTCCAGTGTCCTGTTTTCTTGCAATGGTAACAGGCGCCAGGAGGCTTGCCGTCATATTTCCGCTTTTGGTTAAGGGCATTGCGCTTGCGTGTCGCGTCAATGTCCATGTCAACAACTTGGTTGTTCATTCTGCGAGGGGCGTTTGTGGAATTGTAGCGGGGAGAGATTTGGTTATGAAAACGATTTAGATAATCGCTTTGAAAGGAGGTGGAGTTGGCGAGGATGGCTTTTTGAGCTGTTCTGGCTCGAAGTCGTCCATCTATTTCGCAGGCTGTATTGATCCAGTCCTGAATCGTATCCTTTGGCTGAACTTCCTTGTCGTATATTTTGTCCATGACGCGCGGGTCTAACCCGCGTTGGAAGTAAGGGACTTGCTCTTTATCGGAGATGTCGGCATCGGCGGCGATGAGAATGAATTGGTTGGAGTATTCATCAACCGTCATTTGTCCTTGGGAGAAGGTCATAAGTGCGCTTCGCGCCTTGTCGGTCTTGCCCGTCTCCCTGAACTGTAATTTGAACTTGGCTAAAAAGTCCTTCCAGGTGCCTAGATTGGTAGGTGGATCTGCTCCTACTGATTTGAGGAGGAAGTTCTCTGCCCAAGCTCCCGCCGTGCCGTATCTCATGCATGAGAGCACAAGGGATATTTTGTCTTGATCGGTCTTGTACCGATCGGATTCTGCTGCGAAAAGAAGGAGGCATTGGAGCATGAATTTCTGGGATTCAATGCGGTCGCCTGTGTAATTGTCTGGGAGTTTGACTTTTCCTCTTCCGGGTTGTACTGTCGCGGAAGGGGTGTTTGTGGAAGTCGAAGCTTGTCCCGACATTTCGGCGAGTGGTTCGTTTCGGGTGTTGATCAGTGTTTGGTCTGGTGAGTCGGAGTCTGATTCCGAGGTTGTTTCCTCTTGCTCCGAGTCTTCGGGGATTACCGGCGCCGGTTCCCTGTATTGTGGGGCTAGTTCCCACTGAGCTTCTGTTTCGTTCCAAATATCCTCTTCTTCTGTTCCGTCTTCAAGGATGAAGTAATAACGCCCGTTTCGGTATGAGCAGTTATCGTAGTTCGGAGGGGCAGTTCCGTTATTGTCTTTGTAGACCCAGAAGTCCCCTTCGCGCCGGATAGGGCGATTGTTGTGACGGAGTTGGTTATTGATACGTCTAGTGCCGGGTGGATATTCCTGGCCTAGGTCTTGCTCCAGAGTGTGTGCAGTAACGCTTTCTCAATGGGGGTCTATATCCCCACTGAGCAAGGTTATGAGAGAGGGTGTGGCAGCAAGCTAGTGCGAGCAAGGTAGGGGCAGAAGAGTCTATTCTAGTGTTACGACTGCTCGTCAGTAACCCCAAGAGTAGGAGGTTCTTCCCTAGGTCACTCGTGGAGGATGTGTGGAACGGTGGTCTCGACTGTACGTGTAGCACAGGAGCCAGAAGTGTATTGCGATATAGCAATGAAGACTGTAGTAGGAAGACTACAGTGGATGAAGATTCCTGTATGTGAAGATACAGGAGAACGAAGAGAATAGACTGAAGAACCTCAGCCTACTCTATGGGCCTTTTATACTACTTTAGGAAATAGGGCGTGAGAATACCGTATATGTATCCATAGGTATTCTCTAAGTCGTCTCTCTCAATAACGACTACTCTTGTGCTTCTCCGTTCGTCTCCTTCCGGCGAGGAAAGACTAGGAGGTTAATGCCCGTTGTGTGAGTAGTTTGTAAGGCGGTGTTCCATACCCGCTACGCAATAGGCCCGTGATACTCGACCAACGATAAGGTGATCCGTTGGGAGTGGATGACCAAGGTTACTATCTGTACCTTGTTTGTACGCCTCACTGTGTGAGGCCGCTTGATATTTGTGATGATCGTGTCGGTATAGACCGCCGTTAAGGCCCGACAGAACGTGATCATAACACTCAATATGTAGCCAGTCTCATCCTAAAATCCAGTTAGGGCCAGTTGGAACAGCGATCTTGGTGGTCACAAAGGTGGGCCATTTGACATATCCTACATCTGATCTGTTTGTGGTAACTGGCCAGGCTGGAGAATCTCGTGCTATGCATTGTGCTTCAACCTTTCTTTCTAACTTGTTTCCTGCAGGCTGACTTTACAGTTGATCATCCATGGAGTCAGTGAGCTCTAGGGTGCTGTGTAAAACTCCTAATTTTTAACCGGGTTAATAACAGGTGTTAATAACGCATTATTGACGCGTTATCAACAGGCACGTATCAGACCCCTTGGTTTTTAAGGTTAATAACTAATTTCCCAAAATAGCAATATATCTCAAATTTGTTGTTATTCAGTGCAATCTCTGTTTCTGAATGATTGTCAAACTCACCTCCTTGTCCAGAGCAGGCCTCTAAGGTGGTGGGGGCAGAAAAGAGGGCATACAGTGCTGTTGTTGTCATCCCAGCACTGTTCTTGTTGGTGGTACATGAGTAAAGTATTGTCAGTTGGCTGAATTCTGGAGGCATATAAATAATCTTTTGGATTTTATAGATAGTGCCTGAACCTGATCAGGTTGTGGTGTATTATTTACAGAATATAGGAGCTTGAATGATGTCCAACTTGCATCATGGTGGCTTTTCTGGTTCCGCCGCAAGGGGAGGTTAGGCTAAGACACCCAACTCCACAACCGCTTGCTTAAATCATCCTGTCTATGCTCCAGCCATCTGGGCCTCTCCAATTCATTTAGGCTTAGTTTACAGAATCAGAATGTATAGCACTGAGTGAGCTATAAGCCATTATTTTGTTTGCCCATTTTCTCGATTTTACTTTCATTTTCCCACGCTCACAATATGTAGTTATTAACACTGGTTATTAACGCGTTATTAACACCTCCTGGTTAATAACCGGTTAAAAAGCCCTGCGAAGTTCTACACAGCGCCCTAGTGAGCTCACACCTTGATTACCATGGGGCATTCAAGTAAATGTCTGTCGACTACGCAGAATCGAACAGAGAAGTCGACGGATATCGATCCAATCACTCCCACAAAACAAGATGGACACAAACAGCCTCCAGGCAAACTTGGAGATACTGATGTCTCCTTGCCAGGTACTTCTACTTCTATTGTCTCTACAGTCAAGGACATCCCAGACCATTTCCCACCTACTGTTCCGCTGCACTTGATCAGGCGTTATTTCTCCCTGGCATATCGCTCAAAAATGGACCCGTACTCGGGTGTACCATTGATTGGGACTGACCATACTGTGTGGTGGCGGATGCTTTTTGTTGCGAAAGGCTTGAATTTTGGGGTGCCAGCTGCTCCTGGGAAGGATGGTCTACTTCTCTCGAATGTCACGCAGATGAACAACCCCGAGGAAGTGGCCGTGTGGGCGGAGGACAACAGAAGCGATTGGATTTATTACGGTCAATACGTTGTGACTGGGTCAGATGGGCGTCTATCCAAAGAAGAGTTTTCGCGTCTCTCCGAGAGAGTAGTTCACATTTCTCCCGGGTTTTGAAGTTTTGGTCTTACTACGACATTGTCTATTTATACTTAGGTGCGCAAGAATTGGGCCGACTTGATCGTGCGCCAATGCTACTGGGGCATAGATATATCGCTACACCACCAGAACATGGTCAGAGATCTCACGCAGTGTTATCACAGGTGAAGCCTCGTTTTTCTCAGGGTCCTGAATAAAGTAATTCTTAGTCGAACGTATACAATCAGGTTCGTCGAATACCACGTTTTTGAAAGCGGGAAACTGGTATGTTCCTTCTCAATCTCTGGCAGTCATCCTCTGAGTGCACATTCTCAAAGGCTCTGGACATTTACACTTTGCGCTGCGTTGGGTTTGATCTTACCTTGACCAGAAAATCATATAGGATTAAGCCGTCATGGCAATGATAGGATTTACATGTGGATAGAACAAGTTCATCGGAAATCTAGTTCTCACACTTTTCGCTGCGATACCCATGTGGATAAATACCCATAATACACACTCTGTACTCAAGTCTTGCGTCCGACACAAAGGAGTGTTCACAACCCATCAACTCGCATATCAATGTGGATAGCGACGAGATTAAGCACTGAACCGAGGGTCACAGTAATAAAGAAAGACAGACTACGCAGACATTACATTTCATGGTTTCAATTTTACAAACCGTTGATGGAGGGTCTTCAAGCCAAAACTTCCTTCAAAATTTCGATCACCTTCTCCACTTCGTTCACTGTATTGTAGTGAACCAACGATACCCGTACGACGGCATCATCAATATCTAAATTTGGGCTGAGCATGCTCACGAGGGTATATGCGTAGAAGTGCCCGTAACGTATGCCAATCTGTCTCATCCGAATTGCCCCTTATTGGCTAAACTTTTGAGAAGATTTTAGAGAAATAACACGCACCCCTCCTTTTCGGTCAAAAGCCGCCACAACGTCCTTGCTCCGAATCGGGCGGGTTCCCACGACCACAAAACTGATAGTGGGTACACGCGTAGGACCTGCATTCTCCTCACCGATGATTCGTACGCCCCGTTCCTCTTGCGAACGTAGAAAGGCGAGCAATGGCTCAACAATAGTCTGTTCGTGCGCCACTATGGCCTCAAAGGTATCCGTCAGGGTATGGGAAGGCGTCAAGGAAAGCAAGTATGCCAAGACGCCAGATGTGCCGTAGACAAGTTCGTAACCTGGTCCCCCTGGCTGCAGCTTGTAAGAAGTCGAGGAGGCGGTGAGGAAATGGTGAGTGAGGGCGGTGATTGAGCTTTCGAGTGAGACAGAACGTGCGTAGAGGGCAGCGATGTGTGGTCCATATACCTACAGAGAGTCGATCAGAGATGTTCAATCTACATCCTCGAGGTTTGCGTACCTTGTAGAATGAAAAGAAGCAAAAGTCGACATCCCAATCTTGCACATCAATTCGCCGGTGGGGTGCATATGCTACACAATCCACGGAGAACTCGATCTTCCGTACGGAGACTTCTTTGGCTCTGGCACGTGCGGCGCTGATAACCGCCTTGACGGGGACGATGCTTCCAAGGATGTTGGAGCACGCAGTAAATGCTACGAGACGTGTCTTCGAAGTTATGAGAGGCAGGAGGTCCTCCACATCGAGATACACCGCGTATGGGTTGTTGGGTGAGTCCTTCGATACGCGAGGGTTCCAGAGTTTGATCGTAGCTTCCTTACGTGCGGCCAGCTTCTTCCATGGACCCGCGTTTGCTGATCTTGTATGAGCTTGAGGGCATCATGATCTTATCTGTGCTCATGCAACGTACCTTCGTGTTCTCCGGTAATTATGAGCTCCTCCCCCGGAAGCACATCGCCCTCCAATCCACGAGCCAGATTCTCCACAACTAGTGTTGAACTCGATGCAAAGGCGATCTCTTCTTCCGATCTCGCATTGAACAGCATGGCGGCATCCGATATTCCTCTTTTGACCCTGTTGGTTGACTCAACTGATATTGAGTAGTCAGCTCCGAGCTGAACGTTTGTATTGAGGAGGTAATCAGATATCTGCGCGACGACATCTCCTGTACATTGTGAACCCCCAGCATTATCTGCAAAAATGTACCCAGAAGCGAGGGAGGGGAATTTAGACCGAGCAGCTGTGACAAATGTGGATGGCATGTTTAGTTGGATGTAGGAGTTCGAGATGGGAAGATAAGCACCTAGGTGGCAGCAATGGAGAAGGCACACGACGGTCCGGCCAGGCCGCTAAAAATGATATGATTTCGAAACAGGTGATACAGCACGATTCCAAGGCTCGTTAGAGATCTGCCTCATAAACAACGAATATTGCAAGATGCTGTATTGAAACCATTGAGTCCCTCAAGGTCGCATGAGGAAACACAGCCTTGTAAAGCTCCAGGGTTTCAACGATTTACTTGCATCTTCCTCAGTAAACTAGCTATCGAGTCAGCTAATCTGAGAAGGTGAGGAAAACAAAAAAAAAATGATACGAATATTCGGAGCTGGGACGGCAAGAGCGATGACGATAATATTGTGTTTGATGTAGTAGAGTCCAAGTTTATCATGTAAAAATTCTTTGAGTATTGACTTCGTTCTGAAACAAGGACTGGCGAAAGTCATGCGAAGGAATCGAAGGACTCTAACGCGAACAGTCACATCAGTCACATGGAGTCGTCGCGGCGCTCGTCACACCCTATTTTCCTCTTCCTCTTCCACATTCTTTTCGATGAATGCTATATAACCCAAATTCCGATACCTGACAATCTATACCATCTATACCACAGAATCTTCCATATCGCTCAATGCCTGATGTTCTACCGCAAAAGCGTTCCTTCACGGGTCATCACGACCTCCTTCCGGCATCACAGTCGCGCACGGCTGTTCCGGTGTCAATGATTCCTGTTAGCACACTTGTTTCGTGGACACTTGGGCGAGGAACTGTGGTGTGTGGACTTCTGAAGCGTATGTGCTGTTGAACTGATCTGTGGCATTCTCGATAGCTGTGGAGGATATGGCCGGCAGTTTTGATGCACACTCTTTTTGCGACAGGTGAGATCCTACTCTAGCTCTTTCTTTTCTCGGGGTGAAAGTTTTGCCGAAATCAATTTACGAAATCGAGCGCTTTGACTTACTTGCGGTTTTAACATAAATCCTGTACCTACGTTGTGTTCAGAATATAACGCAAGGCCATTTTCAATCACCTCACTACTCGCTCGGTACCTTCAAATGTTAACCTCCTCTTGATCGAATAGCCGTGTCTGTTGCATCGATGGAAACGAAAATATACCTTGGGATCCCTAATATCATGCTCACAGTTCTTGGTGGGTTTCCGTACTTATCATCACTCTTCCGGTGTCTAAGCCATGTTGCCCATAGGTGTTGTCATCGGCTTTGTAATTTCTTACCGTGCTTCAAGCGGGTGAGTACCATCTTGTCGCCGGTCCTCTTATTCTCAGCGATTCGGCCAGCTACGATCGCTACTGGACCGGCCGGACAGCTTGGTCGGATGTAATGCGCACCACACGCACACTTACCCGCCTCATCTGGTTCCATGTACCGCTGCGGTTGACTCCTAAAACTACTGATGAAATTGGTTCCGGCGATATGGCAGCCAGGAGCGCTGCGGAGGTACGGAAGGTTATGAAAGAGAAAAATATGGCGATTGACCTGGTCAATGGGTATGTTGAGATCATGCAACCCTCTTTCCTTCTGAGCTGATTTTCGAGTTGTAGATTTGTAGTCGCATTGAAGCATCATCTGCGGGGTGCGTATCAAACACGTTGATATTCTTAGCGATGAAGGTATTGCTGACTTGCTCTAGGTGAACAAGGTATTTATTACCAAGATCTATACGGCCTCGTTCGTCCGCTCCATGATGTACGTCACTCTCCTCGATATCATAACTAATTGTTAGGATACAATTTGTTTCTAGCATCCGCATTACGCTCATCACCGTCATCCTGTTGCCTCGTCGACAACTACTTCGCCGCTGCCCACTGCGCAACCCATCGCTTCTGCATCGATTCCGTACACATCCAATCAGACGTTCGGCGACCCAATCATCCCTGCCATAAACTCATATGGTTCTTTGCACAGCGCACGTCATGCACTACGCCGCTCATCGACCCGCTCGACTAGTACTGACTCATCTGACTCCTCCCACGAGCGCAGGCTTTTACTACCGTCCAGCATGCCAACAACTCAGACATTCTTTTCGAAGATTGCACCAGATCTGATTCCATTTCATAATGCCTTCCGGACAATATTTGGATTCTGGAGTGGTAGGCGCAGCGGTGATGCACACACTGGAAACGTGAGTTTTCCTATCATTCGCTCCTGGAGATTCTTGAAATTTTCAACAACTGACTTGAGTATATCAGAATCAAGAGGGCTCAGAGGGTGGTGTCCAACGTCGCTGGAGTGACGATCATAAGATATCCAAAGCGCAGATGAAACACCGGCCGCGCATTGCCGGTAATGGAGAAAATCTCCCGCTCGACATACTGTATCATATAAGTGTTTGGTTGGCCTCGCTGGAAGATCGTGGAACTGTTCCTGGCACGAGTCTGGGTAGCATGATCGGATGCATCGCTACGTTTGAGGACAGCCTGTCTAGTGAGTGCCTTTTTGTATCCCCATACCATTGTATTCAAGAGATTGTTCCCAATTGAAGCCTTGGAAAAGATTTTGACTACGCCGCTCCCGTTGTAAGTGGACATCCATGTATGCCTTCTTGGAAATCTAATTATATGTTTTTGCAGTGTTTACTCTGTCCACATTAGGTCGGTCTTTGATCTTTGCGAACTCGACCGACGTTTTTGACTTCGATATGCCGTGACACCCAAACAGACAGTAAGCTTTACAAACTGGCTTGCCTTGATGTGTTTGCTCACAAGTGAACAGCACCGTCTGGATATACCTTTTTTTCCTACCATTCCAGCTTGTTGACTTGTTTGGTTGGTATACGATACCTGGCGTAGCTATCGCGTCTTTCATATACCTCGGATTCTTGGCTGCAGGTGAGGAGATTGAACAGCCGTTTGGTACGTTCACCCCTTGTTAACGGATGTAGCGCTCGCTGACGTTTCTTGTCGTTGCAGGATACGACGAGGTATGTCAATTACCATTGACCATCAAATCTGTGGATTAATAGACGAGCGCAGAACGACCTCGACCTCGACATGTTTTGCCGCGAGATTGTTCATGCTGACATTGAGCGCCTGAAGAAAACACCGTCAGCGAACGTGTTTATAGGGTTGGCACACGAGGAAATTGTCTAGTGTTCCGTGGCCTCATGAAGGTCATTGGCTTCTCAGCTATCACATTTTTTCTAGTTCTAGGTGAGGAAGATGTCATCACTGACCTCGTCGTACCATGCACTCCCTCTGCTAAGATCTGGAATCCATAAGTGCTATGCGTGGCAGTTCTCTTCGATTGTGCAGTCCTCTTGCTGTGCATCACGTATGTTTTATCCTAAGAATGCAAGTCTTCATGTGTGTGGTTCACACGTAGCAGGCTATCTAGTGGTAGTATGAGCCTCATTTAGTATGCTCGAGTCCCTGCACAAGCCCAGAACTTCTATGGCTCAATCGGGGTAGATCATATCGGTCAAAGGTACCCGTACCCGTCAAACCTGCCATTATAAACCTCGTTTGCTTCCTGACCCTGTTCCCACTCGGCGAGCCGCCTCATCAAGTTAGCCCACTGATTCTCCGTGACCACTCCCTCCAACCAATGCTTGATAGCATCCTTCCCTTCATCTAAGACCCTCTGCCAACCTCTTCTCAAGAGCGCTCCTTCATCTCTTCCGAAACTTCTCCATTCCTCAGTGAACTTCTGCCCTAGCCTAGGCACGCCGCCATGACCTGCCTTGCCTCGTTCCTGCAAGAATTTCACAAGTCCGTCTTGATACTGCTCAGAGCCACCTTCCCCGACAAGACGATGCCCGACATACGCAGGATCAAAACCTGCATCTCGAAGGTTTGATTCTTGTGTGATGAGATCGTTCATCAGCTCGGAGCGGGGAGGAAGCAGAGATGGGTCCGCAATGGTGAAGGCCGTGAACAGCGATTGAGCGCTGTCTGAGACGGCGTTTGCTACAAAAACGGGTAGACCTATAAAGTATAATGCGCCGACGGGGTATGCCGGGTCAAGAGAAAGGAGGTGACGGTACAGCGGACGAACATAACGCAGGTTCGTTGTCAGCTGGTCCAGAGACTGGGTTGTGTTGATCGAGAGATGGCCGGAATCTGTAAGAAATGGGATACGATTCTCATATCCTGTTCCGAAGATGACTGTATCGATGTGAGTCAACGTCGTATTGTCCTCGAAGATGATGGAGCCAGACTTGAAGCTCCTGATCCGCGGTTTAAAATCCGCTCCAGGGATATCTGGGAACGGAAAATCGCGGAAGTCGGTAGTTTTGAGCGACACGTAAGTCTAAGTTGCAAGTATCAGAGCACTGCATTACATCACATCCAGTCTACATGAAGACATACCGAATTTGCGAACCCGACTACTTGCTGAGCTATATCGCGACCGCTAGCTCCCCCTCCAACGACAATGACGTTTCTTGCTTTGAAATCTTCTGGGTTTCGGTAGAATATGGAATGCAGGATGAGGTGGTGAGCGCCTCTTTCCCACTCCTCCCGTCCTTCGATGACAGGCTCGTACGGGTAATGGTTATGTCCATTCGCTATGATCAGATGATCAAATTCTTCCTCAGCTGTAGTCTCATTATGCAGACGATCCTTAATCAATAATCGCCACTGCCCCTTCTCACTTGACCCAATCCACCGGCTTTCTAGAATTTCGTGGTTGAGTCTAAGATGAGACGATAGATTCCAGTGATTTATGATATCGACGTGATATTGCTGCACATCCGGATGCTGAGGATACAGAGGTGTTTCTGGTCGAAACGGAAAGTGCGGAATCGTCACTGGCAAGTAGATAGTAGATATGTGTTAGTTTTGTTCGCTCATTCACTTGCAAGTACGTACTGGTAGGGTGCGGAGTGTTGGTCATCAAACGAGGGTATAGCGGGGTCTCAGGAAGCTCAGGTGGGCGAGGGACATTCAGGTCTGGAAGCCTATTTCTGAAGGTGTTAGCCTCAGAGATACAAGTCTAAATTATATCCTCACCATACTCCACCGACATCTCTTTTCTGCTCGTATAAAACGACTTCCCAACGACTTCGTTCCTCTTCTGGCAAATCGACGAGTAATGTCTTGAGTGCAGTAACGCCTCCCGTTCCGCCTCCAACGATGGCTATGCGTTTCGACGGCTTTCCCACGTTGCCGATCTGGGTTGTTTGTACGGGAAAAAATGAGGGAGCATCCAGTCTAAAGCCAGACAAGACTAGCTGAGCGACTCGCCACAGCGACATGGTGATGGGGAAAAGATGGGATGTTCACCAAGGCAATCATTGTAGATAAGTGGCGAATTTAGCACGAGTGCTGCGACAGCTTGCCGCACTGTAAGCGTGGTTCGAAACGAAATATTCGTCATGATCGACGACATTGGCGTGCTTCGTAGTGGCAGTTCAGAAGTGTGAACTCTCTCTGTAAGGCAAGTCTAGATCTCGTGGAACGTGACTGGAAGCATGACTTGAGACAAACTTGTAAGTTAGCATATATGACGAGCAGAGGGCAACGACTTGTAGCATATATAGCGAGCGCAAGGTTCTACGGTGACCGCGAAGGACACAGATTCCCAGGCGAGATTATCAGGTGCAGCCACACGATGGTTGGTTTGACAAATCCCTAAGATAGCATGGCATTGCTATAGCTGGACAGCACATCGTGTCAGATAGTGTCATCGAAAGAGCCAAAATCAACATAGATTTATGCCTCAGCCCCAAAGCAGCCTACGTGAAAATAGGCAGAACAAAATATACATCAATGTGTTCGTACCTATCGCACAAATTTTCTCTGAGAAAGACCACATAATGTTCCTCGTGAAGAGAACAAACGCGATCTGTAAAGCACACGTACCATGCTATACGAATAGCTCGATCATTGAAATCAGCATCAGAATCATCCCACTGAGAACCCATGTGACGTGACTGGTGTAGGGCTGTAAGTGCATCGCACTGCTAGTTCCGGTAGAGCTCGCGCTCGGATTTGGCGCTGCACTGTTGGCTGCACTCGGCGAGGTGAGGGAGGCAGTAGTATTGCTAGTAGCACTAGACGCAGCTGTTGAAGATGATGGTGAGGCAGTCATAGCTATAGACTGCGATACAGAAGAAGATGCGGCAGAGGATGCTGATGTCCCGATTGCCCTGGAGCTGGAAAGGGCGGAAGAACTTGAGATTGACGAAGATGGGGCTATTTTCGGGTGAATAGATTGATGTATGCGATCTTTCAGTGAAGCATGATATGGAGAATAACGGACTAGGGATACCTGGAACTGTGCTAGAGGAGGCAGTAGAGGATCTGGGAGACGAGGGGGCGGATGAGCTAGCTGAAAAGAAAATCGTTGGTCTTATGATGCCACTTCAATATAATGATTGATGCGTACTGGATGTACAAAGGTCGAGAAAATATTGAGCTGCTGCATTCAAATCGGATGAGGAGCACTCTTGGGCGATGCATTCACCCGCATCCATAGCAAAAGTTGGAGTGGTGCAAATACATTGCAGGTCCGTTCTATCCGTGGTATGAATGCCTTCAGTCACGGTAAACCTCATAGGCGCTTAACGAATGACACACATAGCGGTGCAACCCGAGACAGCTAATACCGCAGTCGCGCATTGTAACGCACATTGTGGCGGACTCTGGGCACGAGAAGGAGCTACGGCCAATAGGAAATAAACTCCAATAACGAGGACCATTTCCAGAGCTCTTTGCGTGGTTGATGAGAGGGTTGAAACGAACGGCGGTGGGAAGGCACGATGCCCTTATAAAGGCTTCTCGAACCATAATAATGGTTTTGGAACTGAAGGCGGATCGCATGGGAATAAGTCGGCTAAAAGAACCATACATCCCATAAAAAGGAACATAGAGGAATGGAAGGGGTTTTATCCCGCGAAAGATGTCGAATGGCTGGATAGTGGAATGAGCTGACCGGTCGGATTGGTTAACTCGTTTTCAGATATTCCCTTACAATTTGTCACGTGGTAACATAGTGCCGAGTCCTGCCGAGTCACGTTCCTGAAATCTCGTTCATGTCCATTGGATTGAACTTCAATTTGTAGCTGTTGCGACCTCGACGATTTGGAATGTAATGTAGAGTCCAAACCTTTGATCGCCATGCAGTTTTTCATCTGAGCTGTTTTTCGCCATCTTTGATTCTACGACTTCAACTCTTGCTTAATGCTCATACGTCAATCGTCGTAGCAATTGTAGGTTTAGACGATGTATCTTAGGTATGCACTTCTATCTTTTCTTACGTAATCAGCTTGGATGTTTCTATTGGTATTTACTCATGTTCATGTTGCGCAGTGGTGAACAAAAAGACTCAATATCAATATTGACTTAGTGCTGCTATAGACATTCGCGAATGCCACCATCTACAAGTATTGTCGAATTCCGGGAGGCTCTCCGTGCCAGCCGCAATATCGTCGCCATCGCAGGCGCTGGACTTTCCGCTGCTTCAGGTATAGTGTGTTTGCGGCATCTCGCATAGAGACTGCCCATCTCATGTCTGACATAGGCATCCCAACTTTCAGAGACTCCGGTGGCTACTGGAAGAACTTCGACCTCAATTCCATCGCCACTCCTCAGTCTTTCCAGACCAACCCAAATTCGGTGTGGCAGTTCTATCTCGATAAATATGTCGAGTAAGTGGTGATATTTCGCGGATGATCCTTTTCGTTGAGTATACTCTTAAGAGCTCTACAAGCACAACCTAACCCCGCGCACCTCGCAGTAGCAGTACTTTGCATCCCAGAGCGCTTGCATGTCCTCGCGCCTGAGGCTATATTCGTGAGAGTCTTCGCATTTTTATTCTTTCTCGACTAGCTTACCTTTCTTGGAGACCCTTGTGACGCAGAATGTTGATGGCCTTAGTAGCAGAGCGCTGGATGTAGTCGAACAGCACCATTCCTTCTCGACCAAAGCCCACTCTCCCTCAACCAGTCCATATCCTATGTTTGAGATGCATGGTCGGTTGGATGAAGTGCTATGCACGCTCTGTGGGCAACGAGAAAAAATCACCAAAGGGCTTCTCTCTGTACCTTTGGAAGATTACTCAGTACGGACTGACGTTGAGAAGCAGGCTTTGCTGAATGACCTGCCTCGGTGTAGTCATTGTTCCAGTCTCCTTCGCCCTGGCGTCGTGTGGTTTGAAGAAACGCCGCTCCATCTGCGGGAAATTTGGGACATCATTGATAGAGCCGATATGTGTCTCGTCATCGGTACTTCATCTACAGTTTAGTTCATTCATCATTCTTTGAGTGCGTTAACCTGAACAAATACTTTTAGGTTCAGCCTGCAGCAGGATTTGCGCATGTGGTTTCTGAGCGCGGTGGTACAGTTGCTGTCTTCAATTTGAAGCTTGAGGAAAGCGATGATGAGCCAGATTTTTTATTTTTGGGATCTTGCGAGCAGACTCTGCCGCGCGTTTTGTTCGCGATCGATGTGTAGTGAGCATAGTACCGAAGCAGCGTCCAAGTATTTGATTTCCGCCAATAAAACATCGAGCCATAGCTGAAAACACTCACGAGCATGTCTAGACCCCTGGAGGGAACGGTCCAAAGTGCACTTGTAGTAATTAGACACCGTCACAAACCCCACGATACTCCGTGTCCGAGTAAATCTTTGAGTACGAAGACTGCGACAGCCTTGCCCATCAGCTCATCGGCTCGCAGCTACCGATAGATCTTCATTGCCGACAAAATCTACTTGTACAACGCGAAGCCCATGTGGAATCTACATACCAATCGGACTCAGGGCATCATCCATGGATAAATTACACGCTCGTCTAGAAAGTCTATGCAAAATATGAAGAATTCCTTACCACGACGTTCGCTGAAAAACAACGCACAGATAGCTTTATTTGAATATAAGGAGTGATTGGCCGAGGACAGCAGCGATATGTTGTGTTCCGCTGACCACGTGCCAATTAAATTAGCTTGCATAGTGTCAAATACGTCGTAAACTTTGAAAGGGTTTCCTCGCGATGGAAGTGAACTCCTGCTTGCAGGCTGAAAATGCTGATTCGCCAATCTGGGAGGTTAAGCGAGCTCGCTCGCTTTGCTGAGTTATGCTGTCATCGGGTCTGTTGAAATGTTCCTTCGGCATGGGGCAGCCGCGTCCGGCGAGGTCTGGCGGTTGTCATTGAGCAAAAAGGCTAAATTGAAGATCATGACATAACGATAAGGATGGAGATGGAATCTTGAATAACGAGGCGTTAGTCTCATGTACTTCTCATGTCCGCCGACGCTGTCCACCAGAGCAGAATGTTCACAGGAGATGCCTTGCACTTTACCTATAGCAGTGAGGCATTTGGTTCCGACCCAATGGATACCAAGGTCGTCTGAGGGTCCCAAATAGTTTGCTTCCGCAAACAGATGAGAGGGTGTCGCGCCAATTGATCTGACGGTCACCAAAGTAGCGTCACAGCTGGCCGTGCCTGGCAGAAAACAAAGGCGTGACGGACGCAGCGAAGTAACAAGTCACGCCTCACAGGCTCATCATCTCCCTTGACCCGCTCATCTTCATCTTTCCCTCTCCCCTTCCCAGACGACATCCTGAGGGCCTCTCTTCCAGACTGCGTGCGCGGCCATGGGCAACTGCATGTCAAATTCAGAGCTGCGAGAGGGAAAGACGCGCTCGGACGAAATTGATAAACAGATCGAGGAGGACTCTAAGAAGTTCAAGCGCGAATGTAAGATTCTGCTACTTGGTGAGTCCTTTTGTTCTCTTCCTCGCCACTCAGTGCATCTGGATGGAGGATGCGTTCGAGACGGGCGGCGCATTTCTCGCGGTCCATGTTCTGGATACCTTGACCGCCTACTTCGCTCCGCCCGTACCGGTCCCTTTCATCCGGCGTCTCTTGTGAACTAACTCCTTACTTGTAGGCTCTGGCGAGTCAGGAAAATCGACCATCGTGAAGCAAATGAAGATCATTCATCAGAACGGTTATACGACTGAGGAACTATTGGCCTTTCGCCCTCTAATATGGAAGAATCTCCTCGAGAGCGCGCACGCTGTAATTAATGCTCTCGCGAAGATCGGCCTGGAGCCAATCATGCCTTTGAACAAGGTGCATCCTCCCCTCTCCCTTTCCTCCGTGTATCATAGCTCTGACGCTGTGGTCTGCAGGACAATCTCCAGCGGCTGCTCAACTATGAGCTCGCCGAGTCCGATCCCTCCTTTTTCTTCAGCCCCGAAATGGCCCATGACATCCAAGATCTCTGGCAAGACCCAATAATCGCTAAGATGATGGATCACTCGTCACAATTCTACCTTATGGATTCCGCATCATAGTAGGCTTTCTGCCTTCGTTTGCGTCGCCGCGCCATCTTTCTCACGCAGTATCGGCCCTTTAGTTTCTTCACAGAAGCCCACCGACTAGCAGCAAACAACTACGTACCAACGCAGGAAGACGTCCTGCGAGCTCGAGCAAAGAGCACGGGGATCACCGAAACACGGTTCAATATGGGTACACTGTCGTGCGTTATCGCTTCCACTGGCGTCCAGCGTGTCATGCTCACAGCTGCTCAGAATACATATGTTTGATGTGGGAGGACAACGCTCGGAGCGCAAGAAGTGGATTCACTCGTTTGAGAGTGTTACCAGCATTATTTTCTGTACAGCATTGTCAGAGTACGATCAAGTTCTTTTGGAAGAGAAAAATCAGGTCCGTTGCTCGTTGCACGTGTATAGAACTCATGAGCACTGACATCCATATCCCCATCGACCCTGCGATGTTTTCACTAGAATCGAATGGCGGAGTCACTCGTCCTCTTCGATTCGGTCATCAACTCGAGATGGTTCCTTCGAACATCGATCATTTTGTTCTTGAATAAGATTGATGTCTTCAAGAATAAGCTACCGAAGGTTAGTATCTGCGTCATCTATTTTCATCCTTCAATGCACTGAGCATTTATCGATTAGGTGCCTCTGGAACGCTACTTCCCAGAGTACACAGGCGGAGCCGATGTGAATAAAGGCGCAAAGTACATTCTCTGGCGATTTATGCAGGCGAACCGGGCACGATTGAGCGTTTATCCGCAGTGCGTATTCATCGCGTGGATTTTATCGCTCCACCACATTTTGTATCTGTCTTATGTCTATCGAATCCTGATATCTCGCTGTTACATAGTATAACGCAGGCTACCGATACCTCAAATATTCGGCTCGTGTTTGTCACTGTCAAGGAAACGATTCTTCAAAACGCTCTCAAAGAGTCCGGAATCCTTTGACGTACTCATCTCTAATCTGGGTCAATCTGTGTCTTCCTCCTGTGTCGTCGGCTCGATCTTGGACCTTACCCTTCATCTATGTTATCCCTTTCCTCTCACGACTATTTGCATTCTCTTGTCTCTAATTTTTTTTTCTCCGCCTCGTTCTGTGACGCCTACGCGTTTGCTTTGTAACATCTCTCGGACCCACATTTCAATTACCTCGGCTTGTCGTCGTCTGATAGGAATCTTTTATTGTCTTGTAGTCGGTGAGTATTCTTGCTATGATCCGAGCCTGCAATGGTTGACAGTCCCGATTTTCAGATCGTGTTATTCATTCACATTCATCTCCATCATCGCATATTCCCGTGTCCGTCATATCTCCAGTGTATACATCCATCACACCACCTCCAGCGTCATCACACCTCTCAGAAACGTCTCGCCTCATCGATCTCGTCCCGCGTGTGCTTTCCCTCCCCGCTCTGTAGGGATGCCGAAGTCAAGGCATTGGCAACATCCATATATATCCTCCTCCTATTTTCGTGACCCGCGGCACCCTACTCTATCCACATCCTTCCCCACAGCTGGTCTGCTCACCTCTTTCTTACCACTCTTTCTACTCGAAATCCGGTCTTCAGTCGTGATCGTCTCCCCTGTCCCCTTGAACTTGCCTTACTTCAATCCACCCATGTGCACACAGAAGCCGTTTTTGTAGCACGCCATAGTGTCTAGGCGGATACGGAGACTTCGACGTGGACATGGAAGCGGCACTTGGTCGCGCCGGATGCAATATGAGGGTATGGTTCTGTACAAGTTGGGAGATAGATGTTCACGCAGTGTGAAACATCTCGGGGAGGGGAAAGAAAAAGAAGAAAGAGATAGCGACCTCATTATCGTAACTTATTGCTGGTATCCGGTACGATTTCCTCTACTTTTGTGAACACAATGGATATGGCTGTACCGACAATAAATGTTTTCCCTCCATCCCGATCATCCAATGATCAAAATGCAGCACCGAGTGTCAATGCATAGGAGAACCACACAATTTTTGAGGAGATCTTCCCAGCCTACCTTCTCACAGCGCTTGACTGCAAGAGCGGGATGGCCTCTAGAAGTCGAGAAGGTCATACACGAGAGTCAAAGGGCAGGCCTGGGCCTATCTGATGTGCATCGCCTATCGCATTACGCTCTCATTCAAAAGATGAATGGTCGATGATCTTCCCATAGGCCTTCCAATGTGATACGACGAGATGCATCGCCGTAGGGCGGATCGCATTTTGCGCAATCACGCATCGAATATGTGACATGTCTCTGCCTTCTGGAACATCAATCTCGATGTCTTTTATAGTATGTAACCTGCTCACCTCTTCTCTTGGCCGGGCTGAATGTCAGGGTCCTGGTTTACAGACAAAGAGGAGTTGGTACCTAACGAAAGGTCAAAGGCGAGTTTTGCTATCAGACTCCGTGACGTTTTGTGTGCTTGAGAGAGATGGTCTAGTCGAGACGACATATATAAAATCGGCATTTGCATAGATGAGTTATCATATGGGTCATCCATGGATACACACGTTTTCTTATAACTCGCCTTTTTCTTCTTCTGAAACAACATGGGCGAGGACGGCCGAAATTGGCAGCGTGTGAATCTAAGACTCCGACATCATGCTCACAGCTCGAGGCAGCTCCATGGCTGGCCCGCTGCTGGCCACGCGGCGCCACACAACGTGACACGCTGGCAACGCCTCATGGACTCTGGTTCTCTATGCCTGTTTTGATGAACTTGTTGCAGATCGAACCTGATGGTATTCATAGATCGGTCCCAACAGCGACGACTTGAAAATCTCCGGACTGTACATGGATGGGGCCATTCATGAGGATCAAGGTAGCTAATAAACCCAATGGAGGACAGTAGGGACGTAGCTAAGAATAGCGCATGACGGAGTGCGTGTCATCATCGCGCGCCTTCCGACTCGAGCCTCAGCACGTCCGGCCTGCCTGAGCTACGTCATTGCTGGCCCCTAGTTATCCTCGTTGAGTGATCAGGGGCCCGCTTGTTCCTCTTTCTCACCGATTTTGTTTTCTGTCGCTGCTGTAGATCATCCACTGTTGTTGGCCGTCAAATGGGCTTCCTCAGACATCGAAAGCGCAACTCGTCCGACGTGGAGTCTGCCGCTGCCACATCCGACTCCTCGGCGGCGGAGAAGCCAGATCGTATGCACCCCACCCATATTCACTTGGCGCCAAGCTTACTCCCCTCATTCATAGCATATGCAGATGGCGACGAGTACGAGCTCCTGCTAAGGTATGCCAACGAGCAGGCCGCAAAGCTTTCGCACAGCGGAGAAGACGACCGAGATGAAGAGCAGCCCGAATATCGTCGCCTCTGGTATGCACCATGGAAAAAAGTCAAGAAGCAGAGTCTCAAAGAAAAGAAGGTTGGGCCCTCCGTACGCGTTCTTGTTTTGAGATCAATCACTGACACGACCAAGATTCCCGAAGACTGGCTTCAGACGGACATGACACGAGGCTTGTCCGACAGCGACGTAGAGTCACACCGTCAAGGCTATGGATACAACGAGCTCTCCAGTCCACACGAGAATCAGTTCCTCAAGTTTGTCTCCTACTTCCGCGGGCCTATCCTCTATGTTATGGAGATCGCCGTCATTCTTTCCGCCGGTTTGCGCGATTGGATCGACTTTGGTGTTATCGTACGCTGCTCATTTCTGCATATTGATCGTGGTTCATCGTGATAACGTCTTGGTCTACTGTATAGATTGGGATCCTCTTCATGAATGCTGGCGTGGGATGGTACCAGGAAAAGTGTGTTTCACTTCTCCTCGCTCGGCGAGACGACAACGTCTCTGATTTTCTTTCTTTTCAGGCAAGCGGGTGACATCGTCGCCCAGCTTAAAGCCGGTATCGCAATGCGAACAACAATCATTAGAAACGGGAAGGAATCCGAGATCGAGGCGCGTGAACTTGTCGCGGGAGATATCGTAAGGCCTCTCGCCCCTGATAAAAATTCAGCTCCTGATCCCTCTCAGGTCATCTTGGAGGAAGGAAGCACAATTCCAGCTGATGCTAAGGTAATTTTGCTTGCGGCATGATATCGACGTTACGTGCACTGGTTCATTGTACTACAGATTTTGGCCAACTATGACGACAAAGATGGATCCAAGGTGCGTGTGATCACTTGCGCAAGCGGCGGTAGGTGGATGAATGCGACATACTATGGCCTTAGTCAAGAGCGACGCGCGAACGAGTGGAAAAATCTGACCAGGAGCAGAAAGCTGATGGCAACGACGACGCCGCATCTACCGATGGCGACGGTGGAGACGTTGACAAAGGACCCTCCCTGTGTTCTGTCGATCAAAGCGCCATCACTGGAGAGTCCCTAGCCGTGGAAAAATTTGCCGTTAGTATTGTGGTCCCAGAGTATCCACCGGCTAACATCTCATAACCAACAGGGAGATGTTGCGTATTACACCTGCGGCGTCAAGAGAGGAAAGGTGCGCTTTCAGTATCTACCGTAAGTGTGCTAAAGCGTTGAGTATGCTCATATAGGTGTTGGCTGTCGTTACCTGTGCAGCACCCCAGTCTTTCGTCGGCAAGACGGCGGCTCTAGTAACAAGTGCGCCTATTGCCGACGTTGTAGCACCGACGGACACTGACGAGCTACTTGCTACCAGGCTCCCATGACGTTGGTCACTTCCAGATCGTTCTCGGCGGTATCGGAACCACGTTGCTCGTGCTTGTTATTGCATTCATCTTTATTGTGTGGATCGGAGGATTTTTCAGGTAAAAGTTATCATATACTAGAGGAAAACGGTTTATGCAATACTCTATACTGTGCAGGGGAATTGGTATAGCAACCCCCAAGGAGAATAGCTTGCTCGTCTACGCCTTGATTTTCTTCGTCAGTTGGCCATCCTTTGAATATCATCCGCTAGCTGAATTTTTTTCAATAGATTATCGGGGTGATTTCCCATCCTCGGAGATTAGCCCTCTGCTCATCCCCAAGTTGTCCCTATCCAGGTGCCGGTTGGATTACCATGTGTTACGACAACCACGATGTGCGTCCCCCTCCAACTCACGGCTCTCGACTTCATTATTGACGTTTCGTTCAGGGCTGTCGGAGCTGCGTACCTCGCCCGCCGCAAAGCTATTGTCCAAAAGTTGACTGCCATCGAATCTTTGGCCGGTGCGTCCACCTGTATGACTGCTCCTCTAGTGCACGCTAAATCGCCACTGGCCCAATATAGGTGTTGATATGCTTTGTTCAGACAAGACTGGCACGTTGACCGCGAACAAGCTGTCACTGAACAACCCTTACATCGCGCCGGATGTCGATCCTGCCTGGTTCATGACTGTCAGTATGATTCACGCCTGTATCAGATCGAGCATTGAGATAATCTGATGTTCAACCCAGGTCGCGGTTCTTGCATCGTCACACAACATAAAGTCCCTTGATCCGATCGACAGGGTTACGATCATAGGCCTGAAGGTATTCATCTTCCGTTTCCTGATCATACTCAGAACAAACTATAGCGCTTCAATGTTGCTTGTCAGGATTTCCCAAAAGCACAAGAGAATCTGCGAGGCGGGTGGACAACGCATCAGTTCACACCTTTTGATCCGGTATCAAAACGTATCACTGCGGAGGTCGAGAGAGATGGCAAGCGGTACACATGCGCTAAGGGAGCTCCGAATGCGTCTGTTTCTTTGCTGTTCCGCTTTTTGCACATCTGATTTATCGAGCTTTTCACAGCATCCTGAAGCTTGCCAAATTTCCCCAATCCACTGTCACTCAATACAGGAGTACCGCTCAAGAATTTGCACAGCGCGGGTTCCGCAGCTTAGGTGTTGCGGTGAAGGAGGACGAGAATGAATGGGAGCTGCTCGGCATGTTGTGCATGTTTGATCCGCCCCGTTCAGATACAGCTGCCGTGAGTGTTGTTTTTATGGTAGCTTCTTGGGCCCAACTTGATGCTTCTTTTACAATAGACGATCCGCGAGGCTATAGATTTGGGTGTTGTGAGTTTTGGTACTGGTTGTCACCCTAATCACGGCTAGACTATATTTCAGCACATCAAAATGCTCACCGGAGACGCTGTCGCTATCGCCATCGAAACTTGCAAACAACTATCGTTGGGAACGAATGTGTATGATTCGGAGCGTCTCATCGGAGGCGCCATGTCAGGCTCTGATGTCAGAGATTTTATTGAGGGGGCTGACGGGTTTGCTGAAGTATTCCCTGAGCACAAGTATCAGGTATACGATGTCGCGATCATCTGCATGCATCGTGATTCTAAATGTTTGAATCTACAGGTCGTGTCTATGCTTCAGGAGCGAGGCCATCTCACAGCCATGACCGGAGATGTTCGTTGCAGTCATTCATTCTGCTTTGTTTGTCTATACTGATCGCTACACTTTCTTTCTCGTTCACAGGGCGTCAGTAAGCATTACTCACATCGATTTCACAGGGAATTTCCCCTGATTTTACGGCCTGTTAGACGACGCGCCTTCATTGAAGAAGGCAGACTGCGGTATTGCTGTCGAGGGTGCTTCAGACGCTGCTCGTAGCGCTGCTGATGTGGTGTTTTTGGACGAAGGCCTGAGTACAATCATTACAAGTATCAAGGTCGCCCGACAGATCTTCCATCGTGAGAGGAACACCCTTTTTGATTTCCACATCTCGTCTGAGCATTCGTCGCAGGCATGAAGGCTTACATCATATACAGAATCGCACTTTGCATTCACCTCGAGGTTTATCTGGTAAATTATAAGTACTCACTAGTCATCAATATATTGACCACTAGACTGTCAGATGCTTTCTATGCTCATTCTCAATGAGACCATCCGTGTGGACTTGATCGTATTTCTTGCTATATTTGCAGAGTATGTTCTCTCAACATCTTGATCCCCAGATATTCAGTCTTTGTACTCAGCGTTGCAACTATTGCCATCGCCTACGACAATGCTCCCTTCGAACGAAAGCCAGTGGACTGGCAGCTTCCGAAAGTGTGGATTATTTCGACAATCATGGGTAAGCAGGCTTTGAAAATTGTGGAAGCGAATGGCTGTATCGAGACTTGATTTAGGTATTCTACTGGCTGCAGGCACATGGATCGTCCGCGGCACGCTATTCCTCAAGTCTGGAGGAATAGTTCAGAATTTCGGCAGGTAAGCCCTCCCTTCCGCTCAATGCCTACAACAACTTAAGCAGAATCTGAATGCTTGATTAGTGTTCAGGAAGTGCTTTTCTTGGAAGTCGCTTTGACGGAATCTTGGATCATCTTAATCACTCGTCTTTCGCAAGGACCGGACTCCGGACCGTTCGTTTGGCCTAGTTGGCAGCTACTCGCTGCTGTCTTCGGAGTTGATGTTCTGGCTACCATCTTTGCTTTATTTGGATGGATATCTGGCCCGGCTCCTCATAGTGGGTATGTTGTCCATTCGCTGGACTTGATTCTGTGTTATAAATTTTCCGGATTATTATAGATGGATAAGCATTGTTGCTGTCGTCAGGATCTGGCTCTTTGCTTTCGGAGTCACCGTGGTCGTAGGAATTGCATGTGAGTAACGTCTTAGAGATGGAAGAAAGTACTTCAGCGAGCTCATCATCGAATCAGACCTTCTTTTAAACAAAATCAAGTGGCTCGATAATATAGGACGACGCAATGTAAGGATATGTTTTCACATAACTCGGTTGATCTCGCCCTTAAACTTCTTGCTCGCGATGCCCGTTTTCAGCGGAGCTCCAAGAATTCAAAACTGGAGAATTTCCTTACTGAGATGAGGCGGATGACACTTATTCACGAACGCGACTCGCACGGCGAAGACTTTTATAGATTTGGGGCTGCTTCAAGTGAACACGAGGATACTTCAAAGACGTCAAAGGCAAAAGACCAAGGTTCACACGACAATGCAGCCAATGGGAAGACAAACGACAAGGGGAAGCAAGATCAGAAGCAAGAGCCAAGCAACGGCAAGAAGCAGCAGCAGGAGAAACGAGAGTCAGACAACGGAAAAGAACAGCAGCTTTAGTTAGGCTGAATATAGGGGTCGTGGCGTGTATTTGCAGTTTCGATTTGTACCACTTTATATTCATCTAGGACTTTGACATTCATCTAGACTTACAGGATTTAGAACCCAATGGTGATAGAGGTGGACATGAGGAGAAGTTGTATCCTTTGGCGCGAGCCCCTCTACATGTAGTGTCAATCATCTCGGCAGACGTGCAATACAACTGAAATTCGCAATATTACTGAAACAGCAAGCATGGTTAGCAAACAAAAGGTTGGAAAGGATACAGCATTGACTATGGACATCTTCCTCTCCCTCTCATCCTTCACCCCCTTCCTCGCTATCCCATGCATCAAGTCCTAATCCGAGCTCTCTCACGCTCGAGATGGCGATCAAGAGCGAATGATTTGGATCGAACATTGACAACAGCTTGCTGATATCTTCGAGCGCAAACTCCTCCATCTCCTCGATCAACGCCAGATCCTCCTTTTCGTCCTCGATCTCCGCTTGCGGTCGCGCAGTGCGCACCTTTCTTTTGTCAGCGATCGTCTGCAGCTGCCGCTTCGTCGCTTCCAGGACGCTGGCATGCAGCTCCGATGGAAGCGCAGAGGGACCGCCGAGGATGCGAAGGCAATCTACAATGCATTTGTAGAGAGAGGACAGGAACGATGCATCGCTCTCTGTCGAGATGCAGTGAATGAGCTGTGAAAATGTTGCAGACACCATCTGATTGGTGAGGGTGCCGCTATTTTTGCCACAGGCAATCAACATCGGAAGAATCCTGTCAATGCACGATCAGCATATTCTTATAAACAGTACACATGGGCTCACATGGCGCAAGCTTCCCGTACGCCATCGTGAAGATAGAAGCGCAGAGACGGCAAGACCAGCTCCAGGCTTTGAGATAGGTAAGGAGAGAATTGAGAGCCGAGAGTCGAGCAGTAGATCACCAAAGTCTCGAATGCCTGGCACTTCTCATCAATCGCAGATGTCCGTACACCGACTTGCTGTCCGTCCATCGTGATCGTTTCCCATCCTTCCTTGTCTTCGGGCACTTCATCATCATCTGTTCACAGATCATTCAAATGCTCCGAAATGCGGATGAAGTTATAGGAGGAACAGACCATAGATAGATACATCAGCCTTGACGCTTGCCGCGCGCAGCAAAGGAGGCATTACAACTGGGAGGTAGGGCTCAAACTCGGGTCCCATGGCCTGGCATACCTTCGCCCAAGTTGCAATCAGGTAGTGCGGAAGCATCGTGTCGCTTGGATCTACGGGGCTGTCTGTAACATTCCACGTCGTTAGAAAGATCTCTCCGAATAGAAGATAACGCACTCTGTATTCGAACAAGGAGCTCGACGAAAGTGTTTGCATCTCCACGGAACACATCGCGGCCTACAGCGATGGCTAGATCCCTGTGGAATGAGACGAGAATATGAATATGTTGACTGGGAAGACAGACCGATCAATCCAGCGCATTCCATTGCCTTTACTCTTAATTTCCGGTACTCCGCCGTGCTCGCGTTGCGGAGAACGTTAAGCAACAGAGGCATAATTGAAGTATAATGCTGCGTGATGGTCCGTCATTCTTTTAGGAAAAGTTTAAGTAGTCAGAAGCACTCACTTTAGCGAACGTCGTCTCGCTTGCGTCCGCCACCATAGCTAGTGTCGTGATTGCTTGCTCCTGCACATAACGTTTCACCTGTCTACCACTGTCGGTCGCAGGGTTCAATAATTTCAAAAGACGCTCGACGATGGGGTCTAGGTATGGGATGAGAGTATCCCGTTCGACACCTTCGCAAAAGTTGATGAGGGCAGCTGCGGCATGGGCGTGTACCCTATCATTGTAGTCATTGATATGAGCTGCTTCCCAGAAAAGCGAAATAAGGAAACCGCAATTACCTCGCTTCAGGCGCTTCGAGTGTGGGTATAAGGGCAGAGAATAGCTGTCGATGGTATTGCTCTTGTATAATTTCCTATATATAACAGAACATGAGAGAATGATCTACGCCGGGATAGTAATTGTTACCTCTAAATCGGTACATAGCTGCCCGCTGCATCTACCTTCAGAAATCAGATGCGCGGAGGAACGAAGGACACTCACACGCATTGGCACGCAGCATAACGTACCCGCGGATATGCATCATTAAATAATGGGATAATGAGTCTGAAGCAGATGAGCATTGAACCAAGATAAACGAATGCATGTGACCTACTCAACAACTTTGCCTAACTCGTTTTGCATGACCTTGACATATGTCAGGACATGATTTCCAAAAGATTCCGGGGCGAAGACTCACCTTGCTCGTACCTTCACCGACAGCTGCGATGGCCATCAAGCCGGCATGGCGAAGCCTCCAATCATGCGATGCCAGCATCCCGGGTATGTGCTGAAAGGCGGCGGGCAAGACAGCCTTTCCTCCGAGCGCACATGCCAGGCGGTCAAGGGATTGCTCGTAAACATGGGGATATGTGTCATCCGTGGGATCTTCAGCAGGCTGCACGAAATCGCTCGCGTGTGAATTTTTGTTGAGGCAGTCAGAGTGTGAGGAGAAGACCTACATCGGCCTCCAACCACACCTCCAACTCGTCCTCCCTTAACTCTCCCATCCCTCCTAAGCATCCTCTCACAACAGCCGTTACCCAGCCTTCCACCCGTCGGACCATTCCTGGCTTAGCCTCACTCAAGCTGATCATGAACTCCAGCGCAGCCTTCCTAACCTCTTCGGCCTCTTCATCTAAGTCATCAGCATCATGTTCCTTCTCCTTCCCGTTTCCAACGACCGGCGGAAAGGTGAATGCCGACTGAGGGCTCGGGAATGGACGTGCGACGGTAGGCGTGGGGCCGGGATCGGCAGAGGGCAGTATGAGGGCAGGGAGGAAACGAAGAAGCGCGGGTAGATGTGGGGTAAATATTTGAGGAGATGAGGTTGTAAGAGGCGTGAGGGTGTTGAGGAATCTCGGAAGCTGCGAGTGCGGAAGTGCTGGTAAGGTGTCTAGCATGGGGTACATAAGTGAGAGGGATTGTGCAATTTGATGCAAGTCGGACGAGGACAGATAGGACACAGACGCTCGCAAAGCAGCGTGTCGAACCTGAATTCGTGAAAAAGATAAATGCATGATAAAGGTCAGGGAACAAAGGGAGCAAAGCCAGATATATGTGCATGGTGAATGGTACGCCATAGACGCCGGTGCGCCTAAGGGACACTGCACCTGTAATCAGTGAACGCGGACGTACCTCGACACTCTGCGGATCCTGAAGACCCTTCTGTAGTAGACTTAGGACTGATTCCGTTTGAAGGTCGACGATGAGATTGGGACACCCGGCGAAGACACGAAAAGCGCTTTCTCGGGCGATCGGATCGGCGCTTTGGGTCATGGCAAACGCCTGGGCCTGGAGAGCGTGCCATGGTCTACCACGAGTCATAGAATTGTTGGAAATGTCACAAATGGTGTCGACGGCTTTGCGGCGAACGACTTCGGATGGTTCATGAGAAAGGGAGTGAAGGAGGAGACGCTCGACGGTGGCGAGGGTTTGTACGGAGAGATGGTCGTAGAGAGTCATAGAACCGCTTTTGGTTGTTTGCGTGGGGGCAGGGCGGAAGAGGAGGCGGCGAAGGAGAACTAAGGAGAAGGAGCGCATCTGAAAGCGTGATCAGCGAGCACTAACGATATCAGGACAGCTGTCCTTACCACCTCAGTGTCAGCAGACGTAGCAAACTCAGTCAGAGCGAGAAGATAAACCTCTGGCGTCTGGGAGAGGCGTTCGTTTACGGCTCGTTCAGCACTGTATCGCGGAATGAAAACCGGCTACGGCGAGGATATAAGAGGACTGGGGGCATACCTGGAACGAATCTCGTTGTCGCCCAGGACAAGATTGGAAAGAATCTGTGTGAGCTCGGCAATGACCTCTGCTGGAACGACGGGCTCCATCGCAAAGATGGACGGCGCCGCGGTGGACGATGGCGAGCAGACGAGGCTCGGCTCTTGATTTCTGAGGATGATCTTGAGCGTCTATTTTCCCGATTCGGCGTTGGATGTTTGTTCGGGACAAACACCGGGCAAACGCGCGTGTTCGTCGCTCGACATTCCAGCGCAACCTCTCCTCCTCACCCTCACAATGTACGCCTCTCTCGTCCGTCGTCAACTCGGCGGCCTTGTGCCCCCAAAAATCGCCTCTCCGTCTATCCTTGTGCGTATTTCTTTTCTCTTCACCAAGTTTCGTCTCACGACGTACGGTCCATAGTCTGCTGGCCAGGGTGCCGACCTCACCCCTCTCGTCAACTTCTACTCGAAGCTTCCCAAAGGCCCAGCCGCTGCACCTTCTGCCCGTGGTATTAAAGCCCGCTACTTCGATGGAAAGAACGCGTCGGCCGCTCCTATCGTTGTCACGATCGCCGCAATTTTCGGCCTGGGCTACACCATTGACTACCAGAGTGCGTCCTTTGTCCGTCTTCCATATTCGCTTGCTCTTAACTCACGCGTTTTGTCGTTGTATTCCTCTTGGAATTCAGTGCACTTGAGTGAGTATTTTTGCTCCGTTCTTGCTCATATCATTCTCAACCTGCTTTTCAGAGCATCACAAGAATCATCCCCACTAGACGACAGCCTTTGGGAAGCGGGAGGAGATTTCTTTGTGTTCTTCACCTGAATATTCAAGCATTTTTTCTTCACATGTGCATGAATGTGTCGTTTTAGACATTATCAACAATGTGCGAGCGGCTGCATGGCGACGATAGTCCGAATAGACGTTTGTCTCTCCCGCTGATGTACTATCCGCACTGCAAGGTAGTCGAGCATCATAAGCTAGGTCGCCTTCGTCACTCGACCAGCTCATGTCATATACCTTCTCGCACGAGCTTTAACAACCTCGAACCTGCGGAATCATCACCCATCTGAGATTCATCAACTGCTACTTCCGCACTCCTTTATTTTTTGATAGGGATACTACGACTACTATATGTGGGGTGACTGCTGGCAACCGTCAAGCCTGCCATTCCCAGAAGTTTGCTTGCCGCCGCGGTCTAACACTCTCAACGCGGCGTCCTTCCCCACAACCCATCTTTTGTCCCCATTCTCCAGTGCCACGTAGAACTCGTCTCTCAGAACTCTTACTCTCGCCATTTCATTTTCAAGTTTTTGTACATTAATCTCTTATCTCCGATCCTCCTGCTCACCGTCGTCCCGCCTTCACCTAGGGCCCACTTCCCAGTCCACCTAGTCCCTTTGGCGCCTTCCCTTTCAGCCGCTCGCAATTCTCTGTCCTGATTTTTGTCGAAGATTGATAGACCGTGGATGTCGTCGATCGTCACTTCGAACGTGCGCATGCATACGATTGTGCTTTGGAAGAGTGAGGAGCGAGTTGATACCTCAAATGACGCGGCTTCGATGTCTGTCTGAAAGAATTCGGCCTCGGAGAACGTGTACAATGTCGCCCATTCCGTCTCAGGTGAGCGAAGCGGCGTGTGGGTGACTTGCATGTGCCAATCCCGCAATGGCGCTTACCCCGACCCTTTGCGCGTCTCTATCGAACTTGTCTAGCTATGCCCGTGCAATTCAGAGGAAGGGGTGTTACTGAGACTGCCGGTCAGATACCCCGCTCTGACCATCCTATGCCTTTCTGGGGGAAGCGAACCCCAGACAATGTCATCTGGGTGTTCATTACCATCACCATCACTGAGCAACATAGGTCTGATCAGACTAGATCCACCGAAGCCGATGTCCACAACGTAAGTCTCTGTTGAGTGCGGATGGGGCTGCACGAACAAGACTAGGCGCGAGAGCGGGGTGTAAGAGGGACTCGGTCCAGGAGCAATGACGCGTGCGGCGGCGGTGTACGCGTGCCCGCGAAAAGTGTTTGAACACTATCACGTTGGAGTGTGCAGGAATCGTCAGTAGTGTCGCTGTATTTCGTCTATGTCTGTCTACCGTACATCCTGTGGCTACTGTGGGGGATGTTGCTGACTAATGTCTGCGGCATCTCCCGCTCCTGTCCTACTACTATTACCGACACTTTTGAGTCCACCGATATCCGAAACTACTGTGTTGCCAATTAAATGCAACTATAAATACAAAAAAGTCTTTTCTGTAATCTTCATACCCTGCTTCAACTTTGAGGCCCAGAAGCAGTGAGATTGAATTAGGGGTTCAATAGATATGGATTTAAACAGTCTACCCCCTAAAACCAGACTGTGTGAAGCACAGTCTGGGTTTTGGGAACCAAATCTGAAGTTTCACACAATTCTGTCTGATTCAATAGGCTTAAAATGTATTTGTTATGGTACTCTAATATTTTCATTAGTAGACATGGAGTACTGAAGATGTTACAGGCAAAATACAGAATTGAAAGAAAACCTCAAAAAACCGAGTCTCCAGTCCACAATTGTCTTTGGATTTCCATTGCAAAACTAAGAAAATGCTTCTACATACACTACCTTTCAAATTATACCCTAATTTTATCATTTGGATGAGGGGATCGAGAGATATGTAATTGTTTGTGATGTTGAGGGTATTCTGCAACCCGGAGACACAGTTTAGTCAGCATCGGGAAATGGCGGCACACAGTCGGGAGATTGCGGACCCACAGTCGTCACACTGTTGTCACACTGTTGTCACACTGTGCACAGTCTCTCTGTTGCGCCACACAGTCCGGCCGAGACCGCACACAGTCCGGATTTTGGCGCTAGTTCAGCGCCACACAGTCCGGATTCTCGGTGACAGTCCGAGATTTGGCGGTGAATCTGCGCCACACAGTCCGGCCGTGCCGCACACAGTCTGTTGATTGTCGCGCCACACAGTCCGACTGTGTCGGCACACAGTGCCCTCCAACATCTCATGAGAAGGACGAGCGTCATGAAGGTACGTTGTCGTCTCTCCTTGCGCCAGTCTTCCCCTGCACACCTGTCCCTCCGCTCGACCCACGCATGGTCGTCCTTTCGACTCCATATACGCCTGCCACCCAAGACCCCCACCCTCGACCCCTCGACCCCTTCCACTGTCGACCTTATCGATCCTCCTGTCCTTGCACATTCATTCCTTCCCCTCCTCACATATATTTCACATTTTCAGTCATTCTGCCCGCCCTCTCTCGTTCTGCGTTATTATAGAGACCCCATGCGCACTCGACCTCTCGCCTATTTGCCTGCTCGAAGTGCTCTGATGCTACGCCCTCGTTTTGTCGTCCCCGCCGGCTCCCCTCTTGCTCCCCAGATCAATTCCCACGCTCATGCCAAAGGAATTGCGATATCCGCAGGGAAGCGAGCGCATTCCAGTCCGTGTGCGCCGCGCCGCACTCTGCCTCAAGCGGAAGCTGCAAAGACGCGGTGCGCATCGCGTTCCAGAAGGTATGCGCGCGCACCACCCTCTCCCCCACACCCACCCTGCACTTCTTCGTGCGGTCCTGCAAGCTCAGCTGTACAGCGTCATATAGACTCATCTTCCAGCCCCTCCATCTCTCCCCACGCCTCTACCCCTCCCACTGCCCTTGCCTGTACGCGTCGGTGATGCTTGGCATCAAACAATCCACAGCGGACGAGTTGCGCAAGATACACGGCTCGCGCACGCCTCGATGTTGAGGGTTCCGCAGTGGACAAGTCTAGCAAAGTGCAAAAACGGCCGTGTGTAGTCTGCGGCAGCCTGGCTCGCCACCAAGCCCAAATTCGCCGAAGGTTAATTTGGGCTTGGTGGCGAGCCAGGCTGCCGCAGACTACACACGGCCGCCGGCTTCGCCGGCAACACACCTGCCCTTAGCACGTTCTGCAACATCACAAATGACTCCGAGCATGCATAGGGAAAACAGAACGCAAGTGAGTGCTGGACATGTTCGAGCGCCACGAGAAGTACATCCCGCACATGCACACAGCACACCTTGTCTATCAGGAACGTCACCGCACTGCGACGCAGCGTCAAGTGGGAGCAGCTAGGCTGGCCTGAGGTAGATTGGTCGCTGAAGAAGTGAGGGATCGTTATTGTTTGCACAGTGAGTCTTCATTATGTTGACATTGAGTCTGAGTATGGGTGGGACATGGCGACACGCTCCAACCGCCTTCTGTAGCACCCTGACACACACGCCATGAGAGGATCTGACATACTCTCCCACTCGTACTATCAGCAACTGATTTCACATGCTTTGTGTGCACATATACGCGCTCCCACTCTTAGCTATTTTTCAAGTACCCCTTCTACCTGTAGTTAGATTTTTTTTCTCTCTCTCTGTATGTATATCACGACCCTGCAAACCATCTCTTCCTCTCCTAAAAAAGAGGCTATGTCTTTACACCATGGCCCCATTCACCCACACGACGTGTGGGCGAAAGTTGTGGAGAGAGTGTCGATCTGCGCTGACCTGCGCTGACCGCCAGCTCTCGACTCGACCAGATCCAGCTTCCAATTGCACGGAGGTTCTCACAGACAACATGTCTCCCCGCTGCCCACGCAACAATGGATTGCGAAACCGGGACAAGCATCAATCTGACTAGTCTTGTGAGTACATTTCTAACCTACTCTTCGATGCCCTCTCTTCCACACACTCAACTTTGCGAACGGGACGATGGGCCTCCGCCGATGCCCTGAGAAAGCAAGCATCGCCGAAGGCGTGTACTGGCGTTTATTTTTATTTTTATTTACTTTTGCTGTCTGCAGATCCGTCCCATCCCTGCCTCGTCCTCTAACCTCGTCCACACCTACGCCCACGCTCGCCACCATCTCTTTTCCCGGTGCCACCCACGATCACCGTCGCTGAGGCGTCCTGCCCCACCGACGCCCACACGCTCACGCTGCCCGATGACGGGCCAAGCATCGCGACCGTCCGAGCGTCAACGACCGCGATGTCGACGACAACAACGACCACAATGAGGAAGGTCGGTGGCGGAAAGACACGCTGGGGGGAGAGAAGGGACGTGCGACGAGGATATTCACGAGGTATACTGCCTCTCTTCGCGCCAGCCTCCCTGCACACGCGTCCCTGCTCCTGCACGTCCCACGCCCCTGCACTCCTGTCCTCGACCGCCGACACCGCGCGCGTGGACCTCTCCTGCGGCCGCGCTTGCGAAAAGTGGCTCGCGTGCGGGAACTACGTCTGTGTGGAGTCGTGCCATCCCGGCGCGTGTCCGAGGCAGTGCAGTGCTAGTGCAGGAAAGTGGAGAAGCAGCTTGCATACAGGGAGGGAGAGAAGAAGGCGTGCGCCGTGGTGCATAGAGACGGCGAGGAGGAGGAGGAGCAGTGGGTCGGGTCGTTTGATTGCGGGAATTCGTGCGATCGGTACGTTCTTCCTCGAATCTTCCTCCATACCCCCAATGAATTCCTCCCGTCTAACCGCCTCAGCCACCGCCTCCAACTGAGCTGCTCACTAGTGAGAACTCGGCGCCAACTCCTGCCATAGTTATCGAGCTGCAGTTTCGACTGCAGGACATTCAAGTCTCTCTTGCCTGCTTCATCGATAAGATCCACGCCATGGAGGGTATGCTCTCTGAGCACAAAGCCATCAAGCGTGAAGTTAGCACCCTCCGCGAGCTGATAAAGGAAAAATGCGAATTAGACAGCGTACGCGGCAGACAATGCTCAGGGACGCTGCGTGCCAAGGACCACGACGACAGCGAGTACGGCGGCGACGACGATGACGCGCAGAGTATCGCAACCGTCATGCCCCACGAGCTGGAGTGCGTCGAGGAGGAGGACGAGGAGCAGCTGGCGGCGGAGGAAGAAGAAGAGGAGCGGCGGCGGCGGCGGCGGCGGAGAGATGAGCTAGGTCGACCAATAACACCGGAGCCTACAGGGATGGGCATGGACATCCATGGCAGATCCAAAATGCACCTTGACGTGCTCAACATGCACTCACGATCGCCGCCGCCCCCTCTACGAGAGCCTTTTGCTCTTCAGCCTTCGACGTCTTCCGTGTTCGAGGAGCGCATCGATGCCCTCACCTCTCACCTCGAATCTGCGCTCGAGCTCTCACGCACGCTCCAAGCCCAGCAGGCTGCTGCGCAGAGTACCACCTCCATGCTTGAGCCCAAGGTCTCCTTGCTCGAGTCACTCGTCCAGGCGTCGCAGACCGATATACAGTCGCATGTCACTGAGGTGAGTCAAGAGCGCGCCTCGCTCACCTCACTCATCGCTGAGTGGAAGAAGGGTGTCGAGGGCTAGTGGAGCGGCGTCCGTGAGGAATGGGCTGAGGAGCGCATGCGGATCAATCAGGCGCGTGAGGTTTGGGAGGCGCGCGTGCGGGCTGCTGAGGAGGGGTTTGACGGCGCCGTCGCGAAGGTGGATGCCGGGCTCGCGACGCTGCAGCAACACCGACTCAAGGCGAACGTGAACGAGCGCAACGGTGTCAGGCTCGTCACACCCCCCAGTCCACGCAACATCTCGTCTGACTCGGGCAAGCGCCATCGGCGGAAACGATCGACAATCTCCCGAGGCCGATCGCGTTCGCACTCGGCCGAGTCGAACAAGGACGACGGTGGGTACGCGAGCTCATTCGAGGGCGTGACACTGCTCGATGACAAGCGCCAGTCAGCTTCCAAAGCACGCACGCGAGTGCCCTGGGCGCAGGATGATTCGGATTCGGACGTGCGTCATGCAAGCGACGATGCGAGGATCATGTCCTTGAAGCACTATGCCATCACCTCAGAGTCGTCGGTCCAGAAGGCATCGACAGGGTCCACGACGACGATGACGACGGAGGATGACGCTGCACATGCCTCGTCTGCCGCCGCCGCCGATCTGAAGGGCGCACACCTGGCGCCAGTGAGCTTTGTTCTCTGCGTTTTCGTGCATTCGCTCACGGCACTGTGTCGACAGATGGTTCAACATTCAGCACAGATGTCGACGACGGTGGGCGTGCTCATGCTCAGCGTCGCCGCCTTGGCGGTGCTATGGCGTATCAAAGGTTAATAGTTGCCGGGCAAATCTCACGGTCCTTTTATGATGGTTCAATCCCTGCGCACGTCTGGCTCAGTGGCGATCCTGTCCCTCCTTTTTCCGCCCTCATGCTCCTCACTGCTGCACCGCCTGTTCTGTTTCTGTGTGCGTCTCATCTGCCTTCTCGCCCATATTTGTTTGTTAGCGAGTAGCTTAGTCTGCACATCATGCAGCCTGCTGCCCTCCTGGCGTCTCTTGCCTCTTCTCGTCGCATGTCGTTTCCTTCGTCGATCCCACGCACGGCCATTGCTACGATCCCATGCAACATAATCACTTCGTCGTGCCCTTGTTCACCCTTCCTCGTCCTGCTGAGACCCCGCCGTCCCTACACAGTCGCCATGTCTCCACGCGCCCCCGCTCCTGCCTCACTTGTGCTCTACGTTTATGTACGAAGCATCGTAAATATCATGCCACACGCACTTCAGTGCATCGACGAGGAAGGTGATTAGGAGCTAGCAGCAAAGAGATGAGCTAGGAAGAGGGAGGCCGAGCATTACCAAGGTCTGTACCTCCCACTCTCAGCCTTCTCACCCGCCCGTTGTTTGTGTCCCCGAGACCCCCTCAATCTCTTCGATGCCAAGCCCGCTCACTCACTCGGCCCCCTCCATAGTCCATATCGCCCTCGTGCTCATGCGTGCACGCGCGATTCCTCAACGCCACGCACCCGTCTTTGCTCGCGACCCATATCCGCGCCCGTGCGTCTCCTCAAGCCCACCACCCACCATCCTAGCATATCCTCCGCCTCCTCCACCTTCGTCAACACCTCTGCCTCCGATGCCTCGTCCACCGTCACCACCATCACCACCCACATCACCACCACCACCACCACCTCCTCCTCCACCTCCTCACGCCGCTCCTCCGAGTCCTTGCGCACCATGCCCAGCGCCAACCGCCGCGACCGCGACCGGACCTCGCAGGACTGCTCCAAGTCGATGTCCGCGGCGAGCACCGCTCACATACGCGCCGCCCTCCTCGACCAGGCCGCCGCTGCCGCATCCGCATCCGCATCCGCATCCTCGCGCACTGGCCGGCCTTGCCTTCCCCCGGCGTCACGCCCCCCTCCACCCTTGGCTGCTGTATGAGCGGTATAGGACGGGGAGCTTCTCGCACGACGTGCGACGCAGAAGATCGGCAAGGAGGAGACGCGGCGGCTGACGCGCCCCCATCGTCTACCCTGCACTCCTCTCCCGCGTCGCTGAGGCCTTCCGCGTGCGCGTTCTTGAGCGGCGACATGCCTTGCCTTTGCGCGCGCGCTCAACGTCACTCACAGTCTCGCCCAGGCCACCTCGGCTCTCCAACCACGCAACCCAGGTGCACATCTAGCGCGCTCAGAGCCTTCTGCACGCCTCAGTCCCCATGCGCACCGCACCTGAGAGCATACCTGTGCGCACGCCCCCCGTCCGCGACGGGCTCCTCCGCGCACAAAATCGCCGCCCACGCGACCAACGTCGGCGCCAAAATGCGCGCACCCGCATTCTCCGCGCTCGCGACGACCCTGCCGGATCGCAGGGCTCCATCCTTTCCCTCGAAATGATCGGCGGCGGCTTTTACGAAGCGTGCGTCTCCTTTGCCCGTTTTCCCCTTGCCCGTCTTTCTTTCTTTCCATTCCATCTCTCTCTCGTCCCCTCTCGTCGTCCCTTCGCGTACATTTGGTGTAACATCCATCCGTCGCTTGCACGAATGCACGACTCTATGCAACCCCGATCGTGTCCACAACCGGCGAGATTCGCGTCTCTGCGTGCCAGTCCATTCCTCGGGTTTAATCTCGCGTCGCTACCCTCTTCCGTGGATGCGTGCATCCAAATCATTCTGCCTGATTGCCTCGAAGCCTAGTTTGCAATTGAGCTCTCGCCTCCCAGCATCCGTCGCGGCACGCAACGCCCCCCTCATCCTTCATGAGGTCCGCTGGTATGGCTGCTCAATCTCGACGCGCCCGGGCCGTCTTACCTCTTTCAGCGTCGTCTTACCTCTTTCGTCTTCTTTGTTTTTTTATCATCATCACTACGCTCAACGCTATCATATCCGCCACTGACACGTTCTTGAGAAATCCATTGCAAACATCTGTAGAACCAGCATCGCTTACTGGATACCTGAGCGTTAACGAAGGGCGCGAAGAATGTGAGCGAGTCGTTCATAGCCGTTCCACTATTCTCGGCACGAAGCGTCTCGAACCCAATCGACGCGTCCAAACCGCCCACGCCAGTACCTACGTCTGCAGTAACAAAGTCATCTGCATGCATTAAGGTGGAACAGCTGTCAGCGACTGGCTCTGCCTGGCACCAAAACTCAGAGCTAAACACGTACGAAAGGCCACTCGAATCCATTGCGCCGCTGTCTCCCGTCCCAGAAGCTGACTCCCTTCCACGTAGTTCGTGCATGGTGTGATTGCGCGCTTGAAACCACCGTCATTGGCACCGCCTGTGTCGACGAGGAGGTGTTCGAGCTCGTTTGATACTAGGATTGGATTCGGCGCAAAGGCAAAGGAAGAAAATATGAGATTCTGCGGTAAAAGCAACAGAAACAATGGGGAAATGTGGGCGCGCATTCTGGGAGTCAAAGACGGCCGGAGTCGAGGATACTCACAAATCGCAAAACCAATAGTCTCGGTAGCTTAATTAATACGGCGATAGTTGTGTCTCAGTCGGTCCAAGAAGCACGCTGACTTCTAATAGTCAGGTGCCAGATAGTTGCTAGATCCACCATCAAGCCGTCGAACGCCGAGGCACGAGGCACCAATGTTCTCTCTTTTATTGACCGAGCCACTTTACGAGCCTACATCTGCCTACATACCAGCGAGCTCTACTGGTTCCCCTGATATTGATTCGCTATGTGCACAACGCGCCGGCTCCAGTGGCAAGTTTGCAAGTGACCAGCAGCGGGATATCTAGGATGTATGAGGACACGCGGTTTCACAATACGTCCCGTGGACAGATAACCTCTACATGCTCGTGAGGCTTCGGGCTTCGATCAGATTGATCAATATACTCAAGCGCCCGACATTGAAAGTGAGCCCAAAATGAGACTCACGGCTCACCGATATCAGAGCCGTCCTCGGAGGAATTGTGGGGGTGAACATATGGATGATAATCGACAGTTGTCACAGGAACATCCAAAACGCACATACCGACATTATAAGGGACGAGTCTCCGCGATTAATAAATGCCAGGTACAAGCTTATATCTGACTTTCCTACTCCAAGCCACCCACTCCGCGCCGAACTTTTCCTTTAACATCTTATCCTCCTGACTCGTCCTCCAAAGCATGACAAGCGTGACGTGGATGTTCCACATCAGATAAAATAAGCAGAACACTTTTCCCCGCCAGGTCTCGAGCCATCCGCACTCTCTGATCCACGACCCCTCGCTGAGTGCGCATAAGACAGATCCCGTGAATCCCAAGATGCTCCCAGTGTAGCTTGGGTGGCGAACCCAAGCGTACGGGCCGCTCGTCACGAGCGTGTGTTTGGGTCGTATGGTGATTTGGAATGTGAAGAGACGGCCGAGTGCCCGATAGCACAAGGTGCGAATGATTGCTGAGATGACAAGAAAGGTGATGCTGACCAGGAACGATGGAGAAATTCGGATGGCTGTCGATCCAATTGACTCTTTCGAAATATAAGAGAATAAAAGCCGTGCGATGGGATTAGGGTGCTCGGAGTAGCTGGTTAGGTTAGGTTAGGTTAGGTTAGGTTAGGTTAGGTTAGGTTAGGTTAGGTTAGGTTAGGTTAGGTTAGGTTAGGTTAGGTTAGGTTAGGTTAGGTTAGGTTAGGTTAGGTTAGGTTAGGTTAGG